TGATTAAATCTACTGTAGTAATCTGTTCATTTTCATTGTCTAACTAGTATGGATTTTCTCCAAAGAAATACTTAAACTGGCTATTTTGTAACAACTAAATTAGGTTACATCTGTAGTGAACAAGAACAACAACGGGGACAACCAATTCTATTTGAATGTAACATTACAGAAAATCTTAGTAAAATCTGAGAACCATACAGTAAAATCTTCATTTACAAAATGTCAATTAATCGTATTAAACTTCATTGTTCCGTCGTTTCCACCGCCATCATTCTTTGTTCTTTTCCTCTTCTCTTCGATCTTCTTAACGTTCTACCGTCAGACATTTCACTTTCGATTGGTGATGATATATACTACTTTATATCTATCGATATCAACAACACATGCCACACTACTAGTATGCAATTTAAATTAGGCCAACACAATCAATGAATTAGATATCTGTAGGACATAAAATTATTTCAATTATCAGACAATCGAATAATTCAACATTCACTAGGAGGAAAAAAGTCCGTTGAATTGAACAACTAATCATATCTCAATAAGTATAAAATGATCTGTTGTGGAACTTGTTAAGAAAATAAAAAGCAAATAAATTCACTTGACGTTGTTATACTTGTATCTTCCGATTGTTATTTAGGAATTCAATTGATCAGTCTCCTGTTGACATATGTACATCCTGAGCAGGTTGCCTCGATATAGCCTTAAGTCACAAGCTGTTTAAGCAAAGACGGATCAAAGATGATCACCAAAACCATAGAAGTTATAAACTTCTGATTAAAACTATATGCTTTTCAAGTAAAGATGGATAGTGCCTAGCAGTAGTATCCGGGACGCATGTTTCATCCTATTTATGTCTCGTCAGCTGGATGTACCCGCATTCCAGGATTGACATTTTCTCCGGGACTCGAACCCAATGACCGCGTCGAACGCCATCGCATTATTCACTTAGCTACTGAGTCCTGATAGCCACTTGCTTGTGCACTGGGGTGAAGTTAAATTCACTTGGTGTTGTTTGCTTGTATCTTCTCATCGTTATAGGACGAAACGCGCGTCCTGGATTCCAGTGCTAGGCACTATCCATCTTTACTTGAAAAGCATATAGTTTTAATCAGAAGTTTATAACTTCTATGATTTTGGTGATCATCTTGTTGTGCTTATGAAGTATGGCAACTTGGACTGATGCATATATATGCCTGGTTCTACGTTGTAGCTAACTGACTGAGAAGTTTATAATAAAAAAATAACCTCAGTTTGAAGATATTTAATTATACTTATCAGTATAGGGTTGTGGAGATTATTAAGTTTTTGATTGAGATGGTGAACCGATTGATGTTAGTTAACCATTGAAAACCTGGAATCACTGGACGGCCGTTTCTTTCTATTGTGAGACTCTTTAGCAATGCGCATCCACAACCTATCAGTCAATCTAATCAGGATGTTCATACAGTAACAGAGAGACAGGTATGTACCTCAGTACAATAGATGGTCACGCAATTATGTGAATTGGTTGATGTCAGACGTTATCATAATTGGGCGGCGGGTCTGTGGTCTAGAGTTTAAGAGTTCACTGGCGAGACCGAAGGTCGTGGGTTCGAATCCAGAGGGCGGGATCATGGATATGCACTGCTGAGGAGTTCCATACTAGAACGAAACAGCCGTCCAGTGGTCCTAGGTTTTCAGTGGTGGTCTTACATCAATCGGTTCATAGTCTCAATCAAAAATATTTAATTAGAGTTGTTATCAACTTATGAGAACATTATTAATATTTTAAACAATGTCAGCATAAGTTACATATATTAACTAAAATAAATTTAAGATGTGAATTCCAGCAAAAAAGTTGTTTAAAGTTCTAGGTCAGTCAGTCAGTCAATGAATCATTCACAATCAACACATAGCCTAGTACAAGTTCCTACACAGTATAAACATGGTGAGATTACCAAGATGAATAGTGAAGAAATCGAAATAATGTGGTAATAGAATGAAAAGTTGCATTTGAAGGGATATTTAAACTCAAACCCTAGAGTTAAAAACGGTTCAAAGCTATGTCATCTCAACCTGGTAGTCTATATTCACCAGTATGACTAAGATTAACAGTTTCTGACTTCATGAAGTGATGCCGTTGGGCTTTCTAATCACCTTACTTACTTACTCCTGTTACTCCTCGTGAAGGAGCATTCTACATCAAACCCTGTCCTGGGAAATCCTTTCCAGCTCTTTCCAGTTGTTATTCATCCTTTTCATATCTGATTCTATTTCCCGACGTAATGTGTTCTTTGGCCTTCCACATTTTCACTTCCCTCCAAAATTCCAAGTTAGGGCTTGCCTCGTGATGCAGTCTGATGATTTCCGTAATGTATGTCCTATCCATTTTCATCGTCTCTTCCTAATTTCCTCTTCACCTGGAAGCTGGTTTGTTCCCCCCACAGAAGACTGTTGCTGATGGTATCCGAATAATCAATGTTGGGTATCTCGTGCAGACAACTGGTTATAAATACTTGTATCTTCTTGATGGTGGTTGTAGTAGTTCTCTAAGTTTCAGCTCCATACAGTAGAACTGCCTTGACGTTCTTGTTGAACATTGTGACTTTGATATTGATTGAGAGACAGTTGTTTTGAGTTCCATATGTTCTTCAATTGAAGGAATGCGGCCCTTGCTTAGCCAATCCTCGCCTTTACGTCTGCATCTGATCCTTCTTGTTCATCGATGATGCTTCCCAGGCATGTGAAGGATTCTACATCTTCCAGAGTTTCGCCATCAAGAGTGATTGGATTGCTGTTCTCCGCTTTGAATTTGAGGACATTGGTTTTCCTTTTGTGTATACTGAGGCCTACTGATCCAAAGACTGATGCTACACTGGCTGTCTTTATCTGCATTTGTTCGTGTGTACGCGATAGGAGGGCTAGGTGATCTGCGAAGTCCAAATCGTCTAATTGATTCTGAGCTGTCCATTGTATTCCGTGTTTTCCCTCAGATGTTGTGGTCTTCATAATCCAGTCGACCACCAGAAGAAAGAGGAAGGGGGAGAGTAGACACCCTTGTCTGACTCCGGTCCTTACTTGAAATGTATCTGTCAGCTGTCCTCCATGCACGACCTTGCACTGTAGTCCGTCGTATGAATTCCGGATAATATTGACAATCTTCTCAGGAACTCCGTAGTGTCGAAGAAGTTTCCATAACGTTCCCCTGTCTACACTGCCAACTGCCTTTTAATAATCAATAAAGTTGATGTACAGTGACGAGTTCCACTCAACTGATTGTTCAACGATGATGCGTAGTGTCGCGACTTGGTCTGTGCACGACCGTTCCCTACGGAATCCAGCTTGTTGATCTCGAAGTTGGGCGTCTACTGCGTCTTTAATCCGGTTCAGTAGCACTCTGTTAAAGACTTTCCATGGTACTGACAGTAGTGTAATTCGTCTGTAGTTTTCGCATTTGCTCAGGTCTCCTTTCTTTGGAATCTTGATGAGGTATTCTTCTTTCCAGTCCATCGTCACTTGTTCCTCCTCCCAAGTCTTCTCGAATACAAGGTGAAACATGTTTGTATTTACTTCTATGTCTGAATTCAGTGCTTCAGCTGGTATGTTGTTGGATCCTGCTGCCTTTCCGCTCTTGATTTTTCAGATGGCCGATCTGATTTCTTCCGTCGTTGGTGGATTGACATGTTTAGGAAGATCTGTGTGCTACTTCGACGTCCGGTGGATTCATTGGAGCCGGCCTATTCATGAGATCCTCGAAGTATTCTACCCATCTATTCTTCTGTTGTTGAATTTCAGTGATTGGCCTGCCTTCTTTGTCTCTGATCGGTCTCTCTAGTTTACTATATTTCCCTGCTAGTTTCTTCCTTGCATCGTAAAGCTGTTTCATATTTCCTTCTCTGGAAACTTTTTCCGCCGCAGTCGCTAGTTCTTCCAATCAACTAAGGTTTACATTATCAAACACGTAAAGTAATTTTAAAACTGATATGTTAAAGTTAATGCTTCTTTGATCCCCTTCCAGTTGTCCTCCTTAGTAGTTTCTTCTTCCTTCACATTGTCCGAACACTCCATGTTCCTATACAAATTGTTGTTGTGGTTTTCAGAAGTGCCATTGGCCTCGTAAGTTTCAAAGAATCTCGGCTTTCATGATGAAGAGTTATAATTCGGACATTCAGTTTATTATGCAGACACCGTTTTAGGCAACATATAAATTAGTTTGTCTATCTATCTACTGCCCAATTAGCCGATACAATCACTAGTTTGTTTAAAGGTAATCATAATCTTCGTAATTCTTATCAATCAATGAAGGTTCAAACCCTCAATTAGAATCCCCAGGGCCAAAGGAGAAGTAAGAGACGAAAGAACAAATTACACTGAGAAATGGAGACAGACATGAGAAGAATGAATAACAATTGGATAGAGATAGAAATGAAGACTGAGGAGAGAGTGGGTTGGAGAATGCTAGTCCACAGCCTATTGGATGTACTTGCATCTCAGAGATGATGTGGCTATCAGAAATCAGTATTTAAGTGGATAACGCGATGGCGTTTGAAGTGAACGGTACTGGGTTTGAGTGCCGAAGTGAACACCGACTCTGATTCAGGTACATTCATCTGACAAGCCTCAAATAGAACAAAACACGCATCAAACTGGATTCCAATACTAACCGTTGTCCATCTTTGCTCAAAACGCTTGTAACTTAAGGATGTATCGAGATAAACCTTACAGAGTGCACATATGCTGATAATAGAAAGACTGATCAATTGCAGTCCCAGAAAACAATGAGAAGATTTAAACAAACAGTACAACATTTCACAGCTTAGTTTTCTCAAATTCCACAAAACGCACTAAATATTTGAAAGGGATTCTTTGATGTTTTCATTGAACAAAATGAACATAGAGAATTCGTAACTTTATTCAACAAGCAAACATGTTATGAGGTGGTTAGATGTTTTAAAGTTAGATATAAATAAACAAACGATGAAAATCAATTATGTTTTGTAATATATAAGTTTTCAAGTTCAAATTATATAACCCGGTAAATTGTTGAATGGATAAATGGATGCATTTGAACTATTACAAGTACTGGTTATGTTACAAATCATACCAGTAGTGGTTAAATATGTAGTTGAAAACATATTATATAATAATAATGCAGCCAAAGTATATTCAGTACAAAAGATACGTAATTGTAATTTGCCAACTGTTATTTGACTGATAAATATTGTTATCTATAAAATAAATGAAGTGAAACAGTTAGATTAAACCTGATAACGAATACCTTTTTAAGTGTTGGTTGGACAAACAAGCAATCTTTATTGATTTAAAATAAGGAAACACTTTCCAGTATGGAGTTGTAGAGATTATTAAGATATTCATTGACATCATGAATCGACTGATGTTAGACCACCATTTAAATCCTGTATGTATTGGACAACTGTTTCGACCTAGTGAAGTTCTCCTCGATAATGTACATTCACAATTCCACTTGTGGGATTCGAACCCATTGGAGTGAGGCATTTACTAACCACATACAATGGAAGATGGTCCCACAATTTCGTGGGTTGATTAAAGTTGGACACTAACACCGTTGGATTCCCGCTCACTGGTCTAGTTGTTAAGCGTTTGTTCGCGAGACCGAAAGTTTTGAGTTAGACTCTTGTGAGAGAGGTCAAGGACGCGCAATATTGAGAAGCCACCTGCTAGGACGAAACGGCTGTCTAATGCTTCCATGTTTTCAATGGTTGTCTGAAAGCAATCAGATTACGATCTCAGTGAAATACGTAACAATCTCCAGAATCTCACACTCCAAAATTTTTCATTTTAAGGTGTAATATGCCAAACCAGACTGGATTTCATTTATGTGAACAACATTTTCATGTCACGTTCACCAGCTATTGTAATAAGGCGATGAAGATCCATGGGACAAATCCTTGATGAATGTAAATGATAAGATGTTTTGTAAAATACCAAGACAGTAAATGTTTATTGGCGCATTGAATATCTGACTCCATTTGAATCGTACGAATGATCGTTATCGACTTATACAAATGGCCAATCCTCATATATAATGATCGACCTAACTCGCGTTAGTGAATAAGTGAATTAAAATAAGTCAAATACGAGAATGAAGTTTTGAATATGTATATTTGTACAATTGTCGATCGAATATTGAAGCGAAACAAAATGATATGCAATAAAGAAGTCGAGTGAGACAACTCACTCAGCGAGTCTAGGCAAAGAGCTGAGCAAGGCAAGGCGAAGTGAGTAATGATCAAGGTTCAAAATATGACTCAGGAAGAATGAATACATTGGTCCGTCCGTGAGCTAAAATAAGTTGAGTGGGATTGACATAATTCCAGACACTACAAATTTACTTTAAATAAATGAAATATAGATGACTTTAACTCACAACAAATAGCAATATATCTGTAAGTATGTAGAATATGATCGCTGCTGACTGAAAATGAATTAAAAATATTGATGAGTTCGTATTTAACTAACGGAAGTTGCATGTAAATCGAATATTATGAAAACATGACTGGATTTAATGAGGTAAACGATGTTACTGAGATCACGTATACTAAACCTCTAGAACACTCAAGTCAAGATGTTGAGCATTCGTGCGTCACACTGAAGGCTCTGAACTCGAATCTCGGTTGTAAATGTCGTAGATGCACATTGCTGCACATCATTTCCTATTAGAACTAAACGATAGTCTGGCGCTTACAAATGGAATTCTACAATCTCCACAATTTCATACTGAAACTTATCAATATTCCTACTGCTGGTAATACATTTCTTACATTCTTTCAATTATAATTCATATATCCTGCCCATCGAATCCAGGGTCTTCAATCTCATTCTTGAATTCTGAAGTACGAAACCACTGTGTTGGCTTCCAACAGTTTTGATATCTAAATTCAATCAATCTACGACATCGCGCAATTACCTTTGATAGGTTACTTTCTTACACCCGACACGTATTATAACTACTGGCCTTTCTAGAGCCCTGGAAATTTTTTCTCAAAGCTGGTCACTGCTGAGATTGTTGAATTTCATACCTCATTGATTCGTCCATAAATTATGTTCGGTCGGCTTAGATTCTGGTTACTGACTTGAAAGAACGACGATAAATATTTTCCGGAATTCCAATTATTTAAATCTGATGACAAATACAAGTTCATTTTTAATTACTATGAGACTGAATGATATCATCGGATCCAACATAAAAATCTCAGTAGCGTTATCATTGAGCTATCCAGGTCGCAACTGATCTCTTGTTGGGCTGAGATGTATCCACAATTTATTGATACTGGGTGGTGATCAATATCATGTGGATCAGGTTCTTCTTAGTGCAGATCGAATCCTATCGACAAGGTTGCAATGTGGTCACTAGTCTAGGTGACTCGACATTGTGTGCACTATGTTGTGGTAAGATGGTGGTTGGAGTTAGTCGACAGGAAACTCTGGACTCGGGTTTCGTGCTATTTGGCACTCGTCAGTTAGGTGTCTAGATACTAAATAGTATCTGACCTGTATGTATTTATTGTGAAAATATACATAGTATAAAGTAACAGTAAACTACACCTGAGTATCTCACAGAGAATACCGCGAATTCGAGATAACTTAATTTGTAAATGAATTAATTATGTTTATTGACATACCGGGTGTTTAAAAATTGTGATTAAAATACTCGCTACAGCAATTAAAATAGCAGCGATTATAAGCAGTATTACAATCGCCGTTAAATAATCTGCTAATCTTGTTTTGATAGCTGCACCAATAAGTAATGCCGATGTAAATAATGTTAGACTGATTCCAAAAGCACCAAGTTTAGCACCCATACCCACCAATATATCCAATATTTCAATAGCTGTAGCTAAGGTTATCGTCTGAAAATATGAAATGTACGATGCACACCTTTATACAACAATGTATTCAGAGGTTTGATTATATAATGTTTATCAATCCATGATTTAGTTGATTCAGATGGTTCGTCAAACTGCTAATAAGGTAATAAACATTTATCCGTCTAACCATTACTTTAAGTATTAATAAACAATTTTTTACGCAAGGTGCTTAATGTCTGTTGACTGGAAACCATCAGTAACAGCCGACCTCTGTGGGAGCAAACAAAACAACTTTCGGCTCAATAGAAAATTGGGAAATGACGCTGGAAGTGAATAGGATACACATAGTGAAAATCATCGAACTGTATCACGAAGAAGCACCAACTTGGAATCCTAAACGAAAACAGAAAAGAGGAAGGCCAAAGAACATACTGCGACGAAAACTTGTAACAGACAATGGTAGGATGAATAACAACTAAAAGCAACTGGAAAGAATTGATCAGGACAGATTTGGTTGAAAAATGTTGGTAAGCGACTTGTGCTTTAACATGAAGGTCAAATGACATAAGTTGGTTCATTGATATTTCTGAAGGACTTCCGTAAAAATATCAACTGAAGAGTCGACGAACAATGCAGGAATTTACGTAGATAAATTCCAATGCAAACGTTTTTCAGTGTATAGAGTGCTATGGGATTCATGATTGAAACGTTTTCAAACTATCTGCTGCAAAATTGCTTTCTTTACTTACGACTGTTATTCCTAATGGAGCATGCATTCTCAAACCTACTCTGTCCTGGGCCTCCTATTCTAGTTCCATCCAATTCTTGTTCATTTTACTCATGTCTATCTCCATTTCCTGGCGTAATATGTTCTTTGGCCTTCCTCTTTTCCTCTGGCCTTCAGGATTCCATGTGAGGGCTTGTCTTGTGACTCAGTTGGGTGCTTTCCTCAATGTGTGTCCTATCCACCTCCAGCACTTTTCCCTAGTTTCTTCCTCCGCTACAATCTTGTTTGTTCTCTCTCACAGTAGGTTGTTTCTGATAGTGTCTGGCTAACGTATCCGAAGTATTTTGCGTAGACAGCTGTTAATAAACACCTGTAACTTTTGGATGATGGCTTTAGTAGTTCTCCAAGTATCCACTCCATACAGTAGAACTGTCTTGACATTTGTATTGAAAATTCTGACCTTGGTGTTGATTGAGTTGTGCTGTTTTGAGTTTCAGATGTTCTTCAGTTGTAAATATGCTGCTCTTGCTTCGCCTATCCGAGCCTTCACATCTGCATCAGATCCACCCTGTTCATCAATGATGCTGCCCAAATATATGAAGGTTTTTACAGTTTCCAAATCTCCGTCAATCGTGATTGGGTTGGTGCATGCTGTGTTGTATCGGAGAATCTTCCTTTTTCCTTTGCGTATATTGAGACCTACTGCTGCTGTACTGGTCGTCTTCTCCTGCATTTGTTATTGAGTTTGCAGTAGGAGGGCCAGATCATCTGCGGAGTCTAGATCGTCCAACTGCATCTTAGATGCCCACTGTATCCCGTGCTTCCATTCAGATGTTGGCGTCTTCATCATCCATTCGATCACCAGGAGAAAGAGAAAGAATGAGAGTAAGCAACCTTGCCTAACACCGGTCTTCGCCTCGAACGACTTTGTCAACTGTCCTCCATGCACGATTTTTCAGCTTAATCCATCATATGAACTATGTATGATATTGACTATCTTCGGAGGCACGCTGTAGTGTCGCAGAAGCTTCCATAGTGTTGTTCTGTCCACGCTATCAAATGCTTTTTCGTAGTCAATGAAGTTGATGTAGAGTGATGAATTCCATTCAATTGATTGTATCTACTGCAAAATGCATAATCTTAGGTTATGTAATACGTTTTTGATTGAGATCGAGAATCCATCAATGTTAGACCACCACTGAAAACCTGAAAACACTGGACGACCGTTTTGTCCTAGTATGGGACTTCTCAGCAATACACATACACGACGTGTCCCATACTAAGACGAAACGTACTATTCAGAGGCTAGAATTAAGTCAATGAGCATAACGTAATAAGTGACACTAGGAATCTTTCAGAGATTTAAGTACATTGGTTTATGCATAGCAATATGTTTAATATTTGTATGACAGTACGAATTAACAAAGAAATAATTGATCTGTATTACTGTATAGATCAATTATTGACAAAAGCTCATTATATAATCCATCAAGTTACTGTAAACCATATAAACTTGCTTAATACATTGAACAATCATGTTGCTCAGTTATATCAGAACATAACTCATCAATTAAATTCAATATTCTTACATAAATAAACAAAGTAATAACATTCAATGGGAATGAATCACTTATTTCCTTCACAAATGCAATCAATAATGCTGTCACAACAGCAATGAAGCTATAAAGTAGAGAAAAATATATGTATAAGCACAGCGGATGATTTACTTACTAATCTAAAAATGAATGTAATAAGATTTGAATATCCTAACACAGTAAAAAGGCAACGGTTACGGATGAAAAGACGATAGTTGGATAAGTCATTTCGAAATGATGCTTTTTCAGTTCATAGATTATTTTGAAGGAAATATTGTTTGTTGAAGTTAGACATTAACACTGTTGGATGCTGTTTCACTGTTCTGGAGGTGAAGCGTTCGCGCGTGAAACCGGCAAGTTCTAAGTTTGGATCACGAGTGTGGGATCGTGTATGCGCACTGTTGAGGAGTCATATGCCAGAACGAAACGGTCGTTCAATTATTCCACGTCTTACATGGTGGTCCAACTTTGATGGAGTCATGAATTCACCTATCGAATCATTATTATCATAATACTTATTTGTTCATCATTCAAAATGTGACCTAATATTTCAGTTTCCTCACTCATTGCGTAATTACCTTTGCTACGATGTAAGTAATTCAGTTAGTGAAGTTTAATTATAACATGTGGCTTACCAGATTGTTAGGGAGATCCAGGATATTCCCTGAAAAAACTTTAGAAGGCACAGAAAACTCTAGGAAATGCTTTATCTAATCAGCATTGCATAGACGTTTCCAAGAAACATCTAGAATGTGAAGTGGCGCGTCTAATATTTCTAACTGGATGATTATTCATCCTCATTCCATGTTTAGAAGAGTTCCATGAACTTTCAGAAGCACATGGTTGTCTGAAATGTTATAAATATTATTGACTTTCTGAACACAAGCTAACGTTGAAATAAACGTTCTTTCCACATTTCATACCTTTCCTTTCGTGTTCATGTTGTCATGCAGATTTAGCCTGCAACTTATTAGAAGAGCTTAGGAATCCAATTCAAACGTTCAGTCAGGATATTTGTCACAAATGAAGTGAAGTCATTCAAACAATGTCAAATGTAAATATCGGTTCATGAAATGCTTTATAAATAGAGTTGGATATTTCTAACAGTCTAGTGTCTAAATAAATGTCATCATTTCAATTAATAAGCTATTGAGAACAGTTTGGTCAATGATTAATCTAATCAAAATATCAGTTGGACTGATTAATAGAAGGATGTATATCATAATATTCTTCCTCAATGTTCACAATTATTTTATTAAAACTATTGAACAGACTATATTGACTGCTCACACTTGCCATCATTGTGATGCTGGTTTACGTTAATCATATATTCAAACTCTGATCTATCAACCGACACATATCCTCCTTTCGACAGTTAACTGAAGTAGTGTTTGTTTTTTCGACAGGATCTGTTCCACAAAGACAAGTGAGTAAATGACATCGTAGTGAAGAAAAATGGTGGAGTTATAATATATGTACGACATTATAGTGATACCCAAGTGTTCTTGAGAGTGTCTACCTACTTTTTCTTTTGGGTTAAATGACAGTTATGAAGCAGTTTGAGGAATAAGGATTATGATTTACAGTTGATGGTTAAGATTAATAATTATAATTCAGGTTTTTCATCATGGACTATGACATTAGTTAAAATGCCAACCAAATGGTTGAATGAATTTCGCGCCAAAATCCAAAACTTATTATGAAATATCTGATTGGCTCGTCCAGAAAATTCTCTTCTCTCAATAGATTGATTTCATTGGTTGGAAATTAGTATAAAATTATTAAAACTAACGGTTTATAAATATGGGAAGGGGATTTTGTGGATATTATAGTAATTTCAATTTTTGAGATCATGAGTCACTTAAAATTAAGCCACCGTTAAAAACCTGGAAAACTGCACGATCATTTCATCGTGGTATGGGACACTTCAGCAGTGCGCAACCACGATTCCACCTAGCGAGATTTGAATCCAACCCCTATCGGCCTCACTCACGAACACTTGGCCTCTAGACTACTGAGCCGGTCGGCATCCAATGGTGTTCATGTTTAACTTAAATTAATTCACGAAATTCAGCGATAAATCCACTATTGTCTTCAGTGAGTTACTATCTCACAACAAGCCTGGTTGAACTCCACTGGTCACTGCTTCTCACTGGAACTTCGGGAAGTACCTCTTTGTTAAATCCCGATAAACATAATAAATGGTAACTTTGGGATCCATTTATGGGTCAATACTATGAGTATATTTTATAGTATAATTGTTAAATAACTAAACTATACATATTCATGTCCCTCTTATTATGAGCTTTATTTTGACCTATGAACTATTATTATACGTTTTATCATTCTTGAATTATGCCCTGTCTATTAGTCACTGTCTCCCACATTCACAGCCACATTTAGCCAAATCTTGTACAAATGTTGTTTCATATTTTATGTTACCTTGTGATCTGTTTGATTGGTATATAAACTCAGTATGTTTGAAATATAATGATTTATGTCACAGGGGCTCGGATTGCTGTTCTGGATTTAACTGACTGGGCTAGGCGGAAAGCAGAGCCAATCGAAACTCTAGGCTGCTTATACGGGTTTACGTGTCATTGATTCGATGGATAAGTCACTGGTCTCTAATCAGCGGTCACAAGTTATAACACTCTTGATGTCTAACTTCAATTGACTGATGATCTCATCTATTGAGATTATAAATAATATAGAAATAAATTTGGGAAAACGTACACTAATACACTAAAAACAATTGATCGTACCATTGAGTCTTCCAGAGATCGAATTACATAACTAAAGAAGAATGAAGATAATAATTGATTCATTAGCTTACGATAGCAAGAAAATTATCATGATGAATAGTGTATTAAGTAGTTGAATGGTAAGAATTATGAAAACCTGTCATTGTAAATCACTAATTCTAAACCTCAAATTTACTTTTCTTGCATAAGTCGATATATTTGGAACTTTACTTCTTCTAGTGTAAATCCATAGAATAATTTGAACAATTCCAAACATGTTTATCTAGAATTAGAATATAAAATAAATTGGATTATATAATTGGATACAGTTAAATTTATGTGTCTATCTAAATTAGATCACTACTGAAGAACTGGAAGTATCAAAAAGCTGTTTCGTTCTGGTATAAGATTCTTAGAAAGTGGGTATCCACAAAACTGCATATGGAAATCGAACTATTGCTTCAAGGTTTTCCATGTATTCAACTATTGGATTACTGTAACATCCGAAAAACCCAATATGGATTATAATCATCATATGCTCACCAGTAACTGGTTCCCAAAAGTATTCCCCGGAGTTCTAGTGAGTAGCAGTGACCAGTATAGTTCAACCTGGGTCTGTTGTGAGGTAGTAACACGATGAAGACAATGTTGGATGTGTCACTCAATTTCGTGTATTAGTTGAATTTAGGCATTAACACCGCTGGTCTATAGATTGAGGATTCGCCTGCGAGACTTATAGGTAACGGGTTCAGATCTCGCAAGGCGAGACTTTGCGTGAATACAGTTGAGGAGTCTCATACCAGAACGAGACGATCATCCAGTGTTAAATATGTAAATGTAAACTGTACGCAAACCAGTATTGTTTTTATAATAAAAAAATTGATATTTTGGTTACGTATTACATAGGGCTTTATTGGGACAATTCAAATTTATCAGAATTGGTTTTGAATCAAATATCAATTTACAATGATCATCATAACTGCAATGAACAATGTGAAAAATAAGCTTGTCACTGAATTTCTTGGGTTTGAGTCCGGTATGCAGGAGTCCTATGGTATTGGAATGGAACAGTCGTTCAGTGCTAACAGGTTTTCAATGATAGTTTAACATGAATCGCATTATAATATTAATAATAGCTTACCTGTGTTTCGTAAAACTTCAATGTATAATATAATGTACATGATGCAAAATGTTGTTTATATTAACTTCATTAAAACACTTGAATGATTAAAAAATTTAAAAAAATACTTGTGATGTTTTGCTTAACTAACTGTCTACTCAAACATGAATGAATACAAAGGACATTGTATTTGATCTTTAAAAAAATAAACAAATTCTTTGAAATGAACGGCAAATTGATTAACAAACCAATATATTTCTCTCTAGATGTTGTTTGAGACTGCAACTGATGAATCTCTTGTTGACATATATGTGTTATAACTTGTGAACCTGTGTGCTCTGTTTATTGTATAACGCAACTATACCGCTAATCAGAGAGTAGCGAACTACTGACCGAACCAGTGACACATAAAACACGTGCGAGTAGCCTAGAGTCCTGATCGGTTCTGCTTTCCGCTTAACCCAGCCAGCTGAGTCCAGAACACCAATCTCAGCCTCTGCAATATGAATCGTTTATTTCAAACATACTCGGTTTATATATCAATCAGACAGATCACAAGGTAACATAAAATATGAAACAACATTTGTACAAGATTTGGCTTAATGTGGCTGTGAATGTGGGAGACAGTGACTAATAGACAGGGCATAATTCAAGAATGATAAAACGTATAGTAATAGTCTATGAGCCAAATTAAAGCTTATAACACGAGCAACATGAATATGAATAGTTTAGTTACATAACAATTATACGATAAAAATATACTCATAGTATTGACCCATAAATGGATCCCAAAATTTATCATTCATTATTCTTATCGGGATATAACAATATGTGCATCCTGTATGGATTGCATAGATATAGTCTTAAGATGGATAGTGGTTAGCAGCGGAACACAGTTTCAAGCAAACACTTAACTTCTAGATCACTGAGCCGACCAGAATCCAGTTGTGATAATGTCTAACTTCAACTAATCCACGAAATTGAACGACACATTCACAACTCCACTAGTCACGGACTCTCATTAGGACTTCAGGAAATACCTCTTGGAGATCATCACTAGTGAGCATATGTTGATTTAAATCCACAAAACCCCTTCCAATACTGAAATGTCAAATTGATTGATTTACTATGTTTGTTTTCTGTTTTGTAAACGGTTTCAGGGAATTCATTTTCTTGAAAGTACGTTAGTTCATCTTTACTATTTTTCTTTAGTCTATCTGAAAGCAGAGAATTGACGTGTATGCTACATATGTTGTCAGATGTACTTAGAGTGTAATACCAATCAGAAATGGAATGTCTGACAGTAGAAGACTGAGAAGTTCAAAGTGAAGAAGAGAGATAGGAAACAGATAGGAATTGAAATAAAAGTAGAGTTGGAAGAATCATGAAGCATATAAAGGACAACTGATAAAATATGTGTAAATAATGTATTGAATGTATGATTTTCATATTTTACCAAGATATTCTGTGATTCTGCGTTAAACTATATGATATGTCATGTTGTTTGAATGTTAGATTCGGCTCCTGGGATCTCATAGCAACCTTAAAAAATGACGACAACCAGATCCAGAGAACACTGAAGCTGTCAGAACTGTGCCTAGATCTACGGACATTCCTACCCTACGATCGTTCTTCGGACTGGTCGGCCATTATGGTACCTTCCTCCCTGATCTCCATCGTCTACGTGCTCCACTAAACCACCTACTAGAAAAGAATACAAGAATATCGTATATCATACAGAATAAAATATCATACGAGAGAACAGCTACCACACCGAATAATCATCACATTGAATCAAAACGCAAGTAATGTTGAACAAGACTCATAATGATTAACTCAATCGAATTTTGACTTTTCTTCCCGTCACATCACTATAAATTGGGTATACCCACCTAATTTCTCATTCAATACATTTGCTGTCTCTGCCAAAGAACATGCGAAAACAGGGAAGTTCTGTGGATGCTTTTGTTGGGCTGGGAGAGGAGGAGTCTGTTGGGGCGGTCTAGTGCGGGGGTAATGTCGAGTGTAGTGTTCAGATGGTGTGGCCTCTAAACACTCATTCAATACAGTTTTACAATCGTTAGAGTAAATTTTAATGTACTCTAATAACTCTATTAGTTCACATACTTCATTTAATGTTATTGAACATCAATTAGCGTCCGCACATTCAATTCTGTTATTTATGAGATGAAGTATTAACTACATCTATATTAGCTCCACCTGTAGCTCTTCTAGATATGTTGTTAGTTTGATGCCCAGATAAAGTAGGAGAGTTAGGCATAGGATCGGCAACCTTGTCCTGTAGAAAACAACCTTGTTAAAATGTTGATTGCTTAAATATCACTCGATAATTCATCGTCCTCTTTATGCATACATGTACTCACGTCTTATCATTAGTCCTAGCCTTGCCTTGCCTTTCTTCTGCCTTTATGCAATTTTACCATCAATGTGTCTATGAAACCGTTAACTTATGCTTATTCGCCTCCCAGCTTTAAGTACCCTCGATGTGCTTATAGTTTTGTGATCTCTAAATAAATCACTACAGTTGCTGATTCTCTTCGCCGGCAAGACTATAATTTATGGACGAACCAATCAGGTTTACGATAACCGATCTTAAGTTTTGGCGCGAAATTAATTCATTCATTTAACTAAATAGAGTTTGGCCATTCTAGTTGATGTTATTTCATCGTGAAAACATAAATCTGATTCTTAACCCTCGCTATCAACTGTAAATACTAGTTCCGATTCCTCGCACACCGGTTTATAATCATCATTTAACCGTAGTATGTAGGTGGACATTCTCAAGCTCTTTCTAGTGTCACTCAAAGGTCGTCTCACCTTTTCGCGTCCTGATTTCAAACATTATTGAGGTCTATATAATAACGGTTACGAGAGTGATTGATTAAGAACGTAAAGCCACTACACACAAATCAGAATATTTGACACTACAAATTCTATTTTTATCTTTATTCTCAAAGTCTTTGATCTTATACAATAACTTTACTTGAATAATATGTATTATCATATATTTAAGACAGTTAATATGGAACCAAGTTTTATAGTCTGTAATGAAGTGAAACTATAAGGTTGTATCATTATAAAGTGAAAATCCAGTTGAATTTGTTACATTCCAATTATTCTTTATGGTATAAACCAGATCATCAGTGATTGGTAAAGCTGTTGAAAACATAATATACAATAATAATGCTGCCAAAGTATAATTTGGATAAAATAATCGATATCGTGATTTTCCAACAGTGAAATAACTGTAAAATATTGTCATCTATAAAATTAAAAAGAATTAATATTATATAGTTATAATGGTTACATGAATGAAGTGAACTAACTGATGACACTGGTGAGCAGAGTTTCATACCTAAGTATGAAGTGTATAAACAAGAAGCCTTGAAAGCAAAGATAGATAGTGGTTAATAGTGAAATCCTATTTGGAACTTGTCAATTGGATGTATTTGTATCTCAGAGGTAATGTTCACTCTTGCGGTTGAACTCAGTACAATCCGGTTCAAACACCATCACTTTATCTACATAGTTACTGAGTGCTAAGAGCCGCTTGCTTGTGCAGTAAGGTGAAGCCTTAATTCACTTGATATTGTTTACTTGAATCTTTCAATTATTCTTTAGGACTGAGTTTGAATGCCAGAGTGAACATGCACAAATTTCAGTAAGAGACTAATCAATTGTAGTCTTAAACACAATACAATGACTAATGATTCAAATCTGTCTAATGTTTTACCTCCTGATTGATCCGTCTTAAGTACCGATTGGATAGTGTGTAATTTTTGAAATCTGAATGATAAAACAGATCACATTTACTAGAAAGTAATTATACTTTAAATAAGTGAAGTGTAAGTGTCAGTCAGTCAGTCAGCTACAACGTAGGACCAGGCACATATGTGCATCAGTCCAGGTGTAAGTGTATTCAACTTACAATAAATAGTAATATTTCTGCACATTTGAACAGAATTATCACTACCTTTACCTGTAAACAAATTAAAAGTGAGAATAAATTTATATTTGAACAATTGATAAATATGAATGTATAGCATAATTTATCGGAGCACTTGTTGTAGAGATCCTGAATATTCTATAGAAAAGGCTCAGAAGAGCCCTGTCAACTCTCGAAAACATTTTTTCCAATCAACATTCCATACACATGTCTCAGAAACATCTACAAAGTGAAGAGTCATGTGTCACATTTCTGAATGAATAGTTACCTATCCTGATACTATGTTTAGTAGGGCTGCAAAACCTTCCATAAGTCCAAGGTCATCTGAACGTCTGTAAATACTGTCAAGTTTCTGTACACAAACTAACCTTGAAGTAAAGAGTTCTTTCTATATTTGTCGCCTTTTCTTTCGTGTTCAAGTTGTGTCGTGCAGATTTAACCTTAGGCTTACGAGGAGAGCTTATTTACTAATTATTCATTTGATCACATAAAGGGGCATCGAATACATATGTGCCATACAAGTCACTTAATTTGCGTTTTCGAACTCCACTAGATGGATCCCCCATATCCACCAACCCGGTTGAGGCGCCAGACATTCGATTTCCATCTTCTCAATTTCCTAGACAACACCCCGTCCGTGAGAGGTTACGAAATTGATTCAAGAGTTCAATCAGAAGATTTATCACTACCTAAGAACCGTTGAATTAAATAATGCGTTAAAACTATTTCTGATGAGTCATTTCTTTTAAGAGATGAACAAAATCTTTCTCACTCATCTAAATGATCAAGTACTTAAGCATGTCATACAAAACTTCCGATACTATTGAAGTGAACGGAGATTTGGCAAGGATAACTAGTTTATTACTGAGTACCAATTCTAAAATATGAAAACCAAGCATTAAGTATTTCATTTGTACGTCTTCCATCAACTGTCTCTTATAAACTTCATCGTTCCTTCATTCCTATTGTTATTATAATGGTGGTTGTAGGTAGTCAACAGGAAATACTGAACACTGGAAACTGACCACCATCCAGTTGTCAATCAATTGTAAATACATCTCACTCCTACAGAAGGTCAGTCGTGGCCCGGATAACCTACCTGCAACGTCTCTGACTTTGAAGCTGGGTGACATAGGATCGAATCTGTCAGGGAGCATCAGTTCCCTCAAGATTACAGGTACACCTTACTGATGAGTGCCAAATAGCACGACATCTGAGCCCAGGGTTTCCTGTTGACTAACTCCAACCACCATCTTATCTTAACATAGTGCATACAATGTCGAGTCACTTAGACTAGTGGCCACATTGCAAATTGGTGGATAGCGTTCGATCTGCAGTAAGAAGGATCTGATATACATGACAATGAACACCACTCAATGATCAATCAATTGTGAATGTCAGCCTTTTTAGATTTTCTTGATATAGGACTTTATTCAAGGATTTCGAAACAAATCTAAATCCAATAAATGTAACTTATTTATATACATTTTGTTGAAACAAATAGACGATAACCATAGCTGAAATGATTATAGCTGAAATAACTGAAAGGATTATCAATAGAACTTTGAAAGAATCCATTAAACTTGTTTCAATTGATGCCCCAATTAATAAAGCGGATGTAAAGATTGTCAAATTAATTACAAAAGGAACAAGCTGAATAGTAATAGCTACGTCGAGATTCCAAAGCCCAGTCGCTGAAGCAACGCATATTGACTAAATGAAAACAAAATAAATCAATGTAAGTTATTAAGGAGGTAGAATGTATTTGTAAAATTTCATTGAATGAATCTGATGTAAATTCAAAGTTTCGCCTAGTAATTTGATTGAAGATTATTCAAGGAAATATAATTAAAAGTATTGAATGTAAAGAGTGGAGTTCAACCGTGTTAGATGTGAGACAGTTAACCACTTCAGACAATGGCAGATGATCGTGCAATATCGTGGATTGGTTGAAATTGGACGTTAATATCTTTGAAAACAGGCTCATAAGTCTAAAATTTAGACGTTTTAGCCCGAAACCGAAGGTGCTAGGTCCTATTCCCGCGTGTGGGATCGTGAATGTGAACTGTTGGAGAGTTCCATTCTAAGACGAAACGGCTGTCCAATGGTTCCAAATTTTCAATGGTGATCAAACAGTGATCGGTCCATGTTATCATTCTAAACATAATAACCTCCACAACCATATAACGACAACATAAATTCATCTCATTAATGAAAATTTAATGAAAGATTATTAATCTATAAGTAAAATGATTTATAACACTTCTTACATAAATTATTGCAAGGCCGACATTCAATGGATATTTCTCATATATCTTCTTAACAAAAGCAATCATCAATGCCATTACCGAAGCGATAACTCTACAAAACACATCAAGAATAAACAATATCATAAGGGGTTTTGTGGATATTATATTAATTTCAATGGTGAAGATCATGAGTCAGTTGGAGTTAGACCACCATGAAAACCCTGTAATCATTGGACGGCCGTTTCGTCTCAGCGTGGGTCTTTGCAGCAGAGCGCATCCATGATTCTGCCTCACGACACCTGAATCCAGGACCTATCAGTCTCGCGCACGAACACTTCGCCTCTACACCACTGAGTCCACCGGCATTCAACGGTGTTAATGCCTAACTTCAACCAATCCACGAAATTGAATGACACATCCATCATTATTTTCAGTGAGTTACTATCTCACAACAGAACCGGGTGAACTTCTTTGATCACTGCTTCTCACTAGGACTTCAGGAAATATCTCTTGTAGACTGTTACTAGTGAGCATATGCTGATTAATATCAGAAGGGGTTTTGTGGATATCATAGTAATTTTAATAGTTGAGATAATGAGCTATGAAATTTATTAGTACCTATTAAGTATCGTTTTCCACTGTTATCCATTATCCGACATTTATCAATGATTTTTCTCCAACGTTATAGATGTTTGTATTACAATAAATGACGAATAACCTTTATCTTAACAATATGAATTTATAAGCATCTCTATGTTGATTGTTATGAAAGCACAAATCTTACACACATTTCCTAAGTTGTTAACGATTTTGATAGTTTTTTTCTCTGAGGTGGATGGTTTTATTGTGGGGCTTTCATTGGTCCTCTATAGGATATTATCATCAGCACAAACTTCAGGTAGAAATGAAGTGTTCGAATTTCCCAGCATATGGTTCGCAGCTGTAGACCTGTAGAGGTCGATGTTGATTGGTTCTTGTTAACTTTGAGTCGATCCAATTTATCAACCAATCAGGAGAACTTTGAACAAACGTAGGACCACAAATTAAACTGATGGAGATACCATCAAAATAAAGAAGTAAACAATGACAGATTTAAGATTAAGAAGAACCAATAAACATCGAGGTCCACAAGAAAAGCTGTGAACCATATGTGGAGAAATTCGAACCCTTTACTCCTATCCGAAGTTTGTGCTGATGATGACGTCATTTAGAAGAAAGATAAACGCCTCATGACTATCCAACTAAAAGAACAAAACTTCATAAAAATCATCCACATGATCTTCAAATCTTCTCCACCATATTAACATGTCTACTTATAACTTGTATTTGATTCAGGTTGTGAAAAGATTATATGTAACATAAAAGAAATTCTAGTCAACATACAGCAATATATCGACAAAAATGGAGTAGTATGAAGCAAACTTTATCATTATTAGTGTTCTGAAAGATCGATATTATTGTTCAACAAGTAGCTTACAATTGGCATGATATGACAAGTAACATAACTCCTATTAGTACTGTAACAAGTATCAATACCTGTAATATAAACCGTTTATAAATGAAAATAAATTATATACTGTTCTGGTATATGTTGATATAATCAATAAATGATCATATTTCAGTATATTGATCAGTTCATTTGTTGAAGTATCCATCGTTATAGAACAGTTCAAGGAATAACCGTCTATTTCTGTTAGAATTCTCTATAATAAAGATAATGGTTGAACATATGTGATTGGTCGTGGGATTATTTTGTATGGAACAGTGGTTATGAGTATAGAATTTGAGGTGTTCTTTTATCCAGTAAATACTTTTGAATGTAATGATAGTAATAATAATAATAATAATAATTTTGAAGAATATCCTTAAACCATTATTGGAATCCTGGAAGAAATAGATGACCGTTTTGTACTAGTATGAGATTTCTCATCTGTGCGTATCCACGACCACACATGTGGAACTTCAATCCAGAACTTACGATATTGCGCGTCAACATTTGACATTTAGACCATAGAGCCGCTATCAAACAGTGTTAATATCTGACTTCGATCGATCAATGATCTTTCCCAACTCTTCATCTATTGTCTGAGGTGGATGACTGTCTCACACCCGCCATAAGTGGATTAGACTCCAATGGTCATGGATTCTCACTAGAACACCATGAAATGTATCTTGAAACTAGTCACTAGTGAGCATATGATAATTAGTGTAAGAGTCTTTTACAGTCTTTTGGTAGCACTCAGAAACAATGCAAGGATGTTTTGGATGCTTTTCTCTCCCTCCAAATGCAAGTTGTTGCTTCCGGACTGGTCTAAATCAACACCTGAACTAAGGATAAGGAGTGAAGAAGTCGAACGCATCGACCACTTTACTTGGAAGTCTGGTCAGCCGAAATGAATTGGTGTCTGACGAAATCTCTGCATGGACTCAGAAATCTCATTTGGCTTTTGCCAACTTACGCAACATAGGGCGAAGACGAGATATTCGTCTCTCAATTAAGGGACGAGTATACTGTGCAACAGTTCGTTTTGTTCTTATTTTTGTCTGTGAAACGTGGGCATTAAGAGCAGGATATATTCGCAAGCTACTAGTAATTGACCACAGATGTCTCATAAATATTGCTCGCATCTGCTGGGTAAGTAATAATGAGGTAAGACACTAGTTATTAAGAAATGATGGTCAATCAGTTGATGATATTGTGAATCTTTACTGACTGAGGTGGCTGGGCCACGTGTAATTTATGCCTAAACACCGATTACCACGACGCACAATGCTGGCTAGTGTTGGAGATAGTTAGGAGAGATTTAGCGGAGGCCAAACCAAAACGTGGCATCAAACCTTGAAGCCACTAACTTCTAATTTGAGTCATATCGGTATATGCAGACAACTTCGTTGGGGTCTATGTGATTATCGTAACCAATGATTGGAGACTCTTGGTGATATTTGGCTCAGAATCGACCACAATGGCGCAGATGTACAAACTCTGGGGCCGATGAATATATGTGTGCCCGGTCCAACGTTGCAGCTAACTGACTGAGGTTCTAGATATAACAATTTTTAATTACACTTTATTCACTAGTAAGCATGTGATAATTAAAACAAGAATGAGGTTGTATAGAGACTGTTGTAATTGTAATAACAGTTAAATTTTCGTATACATGGTCATTCAGAATTAATTGAAATGTTATATCTTTTATAGTAAATATAAATCAAAGATTGGTAAACAAGAGACTGATCAATAGCAGTCTTAAATAACAATGGGAGGATACAAGTAAAACAGAAGCAACTGAATTTAAACTTAACCCCATCGCACAAGCAGGTGACTATTAGGACTAAGTAGCTAAGCAAATAACGAGAAGGTGTTTGTATCGGACACTACTTGGTTCGAGTCCCAGAGTGAACACCAACTCAGATTCAGGTGCATCCAGGTGACGAGTCCCAAATATGACAAAACACGCGTTAAACTGGATTCCTTTACTAGTCGCTATCCATCGTTTTTTATAAAGCTTGTGACTTAAGGCAATATCAATGCAATCCTCACAGATTGCACGTATGCCAACAAGAGACTTATCAATTACAGTCCTAAAACAGTAATGAGAATATCCAAGTAAAACAACACCAACTGGATGTTATTAAATAGACTCACTTATTTGTTTATATTCAATTATCTCCTTACTATAAAATAATAAGTTCCGTTTGTTTTAAGTGATTCAATGTTCAATCACATATTTTGTTTTAATAATCTCAAAGTGTAAAGATCATTTATTTATTACTAACCAATATGTAATGAATACTGACTTGTCTAAAAGAACTTTACTATCAATACAGTAATAATAAAAGAAGTCTTGATTAGACTGACTAAAGTGTATTCATTATTCGTAACAAGTTTGTTATGTAATTTAATGGTTGAATTTGTGAGACAATTGAAGCCAGATCATCAGGGAAAACCAAAAAGCACTAGATTATCGTTAAGTCCTAGATTCGAACCCAAGACGTATCAGTTTCGAACACCGGAATTCAACGGTGTTAATATTTAACTCCAACTAATCCACGAAATTGAACGACACATCCACCTTTCGCTTCACTGACTTACTATCTCACAACAGACCTGGTTGAACTCCACTGGTCACAACCTCTCACTAGGATTTCAGGAAATAGCTATTGGAGAGTGACGCATTATCGTGGATGTGCACGGCTCGGGAGTCCCATACTAGATGGAAACGGCCGTTCAGTGGTTCCAGGTTTTCCATGGTGTTCTAGCTTCAATCGACTCAAAAATTTAAGTATTAAAATTCTAATATGAACAAATAATTGAAGTTTTAGTTTTTATTAGTAAACAGCTATATTCTATATGAATATATTATTTTTTGAACTAAGGCAGCAATGAAGTAGATTGTATTAAATACACTTGATAGTGATGTTTACTTGAATCTTCTCATTGATGTTTCGGACTGTGATGGATCAGTTTCTCTCTTATTGGCATGTGTATATCCTGTACGATTTACTTCTATATTGCCTTAAGTTACAGGGATTATGAGTAAAGATGGATAGTAGCTAGTGGTAGAACCTAGGACATGCTTTTCATCCTATTTGGGACTCATCAACCGGATGTTCTTAAATCTTAGAGTTGATGTTCGCTCTGGGACTCAAATATGTGTAAGATCCGTTTTGAATGTTTGGTGTGTGTGTGTGTGTGTGAAAATCCCTCCATGTATATACTTGCACTTTGTTCCTATTGATCCCCTTAGTTGTACATTGTTAGTTTTTTTATTACATTTGAATTGTTAATATTTGTATTTTTTATCATAGTTTTTATTTTTATTACGCCTTCACTAAGTTTTCATGTTTCTTCCCGAACTGCATCGATGTTGTTTTACTTGACACTTGTTAATGGCGGCAGCCATATTGATTTGCTCCTCCTTTTGTGTGTGTTCTATCCAGTCAAGATAGAATAGCGTTCATTTGTTGTGGCTGGTAATTTTTCCGCATCTTTTATCAACTTCTTTATTTATTGTAATTTAGATTTAATTGATTGAACAATTATTGGTTGAATAGCCGGGTGGTTATATTTGTTTAAGTAACGATTTACATTTAAATTTATGAATTATTGAACCACTATTTACTCGATTACTTGTTTTGATATTGATGGGCAAGGGCGCGTGTCTAACGTACCTAGAACGCTATTCAGCAGTCCAAACCGTGGTTTGGATTCTACAATCTACTACCGTTCACTTCAAACGCCATCGCATTATCCTCTTACACACTGAGTCCTGATAGTCACTAGCTAGTACAACTAGGTGAAATTTAGATTCATTTGTCACTGTTTACTTGAATCTTTCCATTGTTGTTTGGGACTGTAATTGATTCGTTTCTCTATTATTGGCATATATGCATATTGTGCGCAACATTAACTCTGTGATGCAGGTAAGTTCAGTGTACAAACAGAAAAAATACTTCGACATCATGTGCCCTAAAACGTTCTTTTCATCTAATTATGGTACATTTATGAATAAAACATTTGCTGAACTTCAGTGTACTTAAAGAAGGTCAGCAGGATCAATATTGCCAAACTATCGATCAAATATAACAAGCGGTTATTACATGCAAACTATAAATGAGACCACAATACTGAGGTACTGAGAGAGAAATCATTGCACAAATGTTCTCGTGACATCATCACACGTTCCACAAACATGAGCTACTAACTATGTATACAGATTTTTAAGGTCTAACGAATGACTGACTTTATCCCTGAGCACTCTGAGCACTTACACTTCATGTACTAAATCATTCTATGAAATGTCACATCTCAGTTTGTGGCATTTGCGAATTGTCCAATGATCATATCGTAATTCAGTCATGAAACTGCACTTTATGTAACCTGTAGTAAACATCTCATATATGTCAAATCATCTTAGTAGTGAAATAAACACTTAGAATTTCTGATATAGTGTCTGTATGAAATAGAAATCTTCTGTCAGGATTACACCAAAATGTGGTTAACGATTATTTTTGGAATAAACTTTTATTTCAGAGCTCAAACAGAAGCTTATAAGCTGTCGGTAATAGCAAAACGTCTACAAGTGTGCGTATTGGACAGTTCTAATTAGTAACACATGAGACAACAACTCTATTACTTCTACTTGACACAGACTTCTGTTGTGCGAATACGTCAACGGTAAAACACGGCATCACCTTTCGTATAAACACTGTATTTCTGCTTCTGTCTTTGTCAGTGAAGCATAATTCACTGGTTATTGTAGTACAGTACACCAACAGAACTTTCCTGAACTGACCTAAGATTTCATTGACGTACATATGATTATTGGTTTTAAATATAGTGAGACTGTACATGGCATGAATTTGACGCTCTTTAAGTTTGAAACCATCGTAGAAATTTGATCCTAATCTTTTTAATATTACTATGTAATGTACTCATGTTACAATTACGTTCTTTAATGGTACTGGGAAGAATGGTTGCATCTTATGCCATTTGTTTGAACAAAAAGTGGAAAAACATTCACAGAGCATTGTGTAATATCTGCATATTTCTCGTAATCTCAACTGTTGGTGTTTAGTTTGTTCATTGTAACAAATACCTATATGTACTACAGGATGAGATACGACATGGTAGACGAGGATTTTGAGAAGGGTAGACTTCATAAAATGTCACTCGACGCAATCCCAGCATCTGGATATTGTTCGAAATGTTATAAGGGATAAATACAAAGATGATGGACGACGATGATGACTTAGGATCAAGTGGGTTATCAGAAAATACGATCGTCGGTATTCGCAAACATTATGTGTTGTTTCTGTCATGTAGTACTATGGTTTACTATTATCGTTAATAGCAGAGGATAGGTATGATTATTCTGTACCCTTTTATTCTTCTTATACTTGATCTACATAATTTACGTGAATTTCATTAAGTTAGGAGTTCAAAAGGAAACGTGTTATTTTAAAGACTAAACTTATTATGAAACAATTCTTTCCATAGATTCCCTTAGTTTTGTTTAACTTGTATATTCTCATTATTGTTTTAGGACTGTAATTGATCAGTCTCTTGTTGGACTATGTGCATCCTGTGCGGATTGCCTCGATAGAGCCTTAAGTCACAAGCTACTTGAGCAAAACTGAATAGTGGCTAGTAGTGGAACTCGGTTTGACTCGTGCTTCGTCCCACTTGAGACTGTTCGGCTGGATGTACCTTCATCTTAGAGTTAGTATTCACTCCTTAACTGGAATCAGTACGTATAAATATGCAAACAAAGCAACATCAATTGAATTTAAACTTCACCCGATTGCACAAGCAATTGGTTATCAGCACTTACTAGCTAAGTGGTTAACGCAATGGAGTTTGAAAAGAACGGTACTGGTATTCGAGTCACAGAATGAACATCAACTCTGGGATTGAGATACATTCAGTGGATGAGTCCCAGATCGGAGAAAATACGCGTCAACCTGAGTTTCACTACTAGCCAATAACTACGCTTAAATTTTTTTTAAATTTCGCAACAAGCAGTAACTACAGAACATGCAACGTAAGTGGCATGCTCAAGGTGAAACATTTATTCATCATATGTCACTTTCGATTGTATTTATCAAATTATATGTAAAGAAAGTAGAAACATGTATATCATAAGAACAGCTAGATGGGCTTTATACTCATATTAATGAATGTACTGTTATAACTCATGGATTCGTGCTTCCATTAATATATAACGTCATGAAACCGTCAATTAAAGAATAGTGATTTATCGACCGTACCAATGACGCATAAACCGGTACGAGCAGTCTAGAGTACTTATCGGTCCTGCTTCCTGCCTAGTACTGCCTGTCTGTTAATTTCAGAACACAAATCTCAACCTTCGTGATATAAATCATGTAGCTCAAACATACAGAGTTTATACACAAACCAAACAGACCACATCGTGTCATAAGATAGGAAACAGCATTCGTACAAGATTTAGCCAAAAGTGGCTGTGAATGTGGTAGACTGTAATTAATTGACAGGGCATAACTCGAGAATGGTAAATGGTACAATAATAAATCGTAGGTCAAAATAAAGCTTATAATAATGACTCTCACATTGTATGATAGTAACAACTACCTAAATTAATGGTTGCTTTGGTTTTCAGAACAAGCATCAGCCCCTTGAATTCCGAAATAATTCGGCTTTCATCATGAGACATCATAACTCTTCTAAATGAAGATTTTCTAACTCCCAGGGCAGAGTTTAAATGGTTTGAATTATTTTTTCTGATCGGCGTTTTTTAGCGATTTAGTTTCCTACAGGATGTGGTCGCTAACTCCATACCCAACCCTCTTCCTTTATCCGGACTTCGGACCGGCAGTAGCTCTAGAGGGGCTCCAGAAGAATTCATAATAAGAGGAACATGAATATACATAATCTAGTCACCCAACAATTATACAATAAAAATGTATGTATTTTATTGATCCATAAATGGATCCCAACAGTTACTATCCACTTTTCTCATCAGGATATAACATTTACCTTTGGCAACAATGAATTGACAAACTATGATTAATAAACAGTTTAACGCTTGTTACTTGTTGATCGTAACAAAAACATTTATGAACTCTGAACAAAGATCAAGTTCAACATTTCCATTAAGTAGAATATTCATTATTTATAATTGGAAATTTTTAAAGCTCAAAGGTACTTTTCTATGTTCTGTATCTGAGTAATATCACTGTGAACCTCTTAGTTACATCTGATCTCTTTTGAAATATAGACAATTGATTATTCTTTCTTACCACATGACACCTTTTACCCATCGTAGAGGAGAATAGGCCGCTCAACAGCATTCTCCATCTAGTTTCGTCCCAAGCAATTCTTTCTTGTTGTTTGCAGTTACTATTCATCCTTTTCATGTCTGATTCTGATTACCTAACCTGGTGTGTACTGCGGCCTTACTATTCGCATTTTCCCTTAAGCATTGCAAGTTAGTGCTTGCCTCGTGATTCAGTTTGATGATTTCCAAAATGTGTATCCTATCCACTTTCAACGTGTTTTCTTAATTTCCTCTTCAGTTGGTAGCTGATTTGTTCCCCCCCACAGCAGGCAGTTGTTGTTGGTAGTATCCGGTCAACGGATATTGAGTATCTTGTGTAGACAATTGTTTTGAATACTTGTATTTTTTACGATGGTTGTGGTAGTTCTCGAAGTTTTAGCTCCATACGGTAGGACTATCTTAGCGTCCGTATTCTCACTTTGATGTTGGCTTGCGAACAGTCATTTTGGATACCATATATTCTTCAACTGTGGAAATGCTGCTATTGTTTTGCTAATTCTTACCTTTATATCTGCATTACATCCTTCACGTTTGCCGACGATGCTGCCGAAATACATAAATGTGATTACGTTGGTGTTCTCCGTGCTGTATTTTGGGATCTTGCTATTTTTCTTGTGTATGTTGATGCCTACTGATACAGGAACTGTTGCTATACTAGTTGTCTTTATCGGCATCTGTTGATGTGTATGGGATAGAGAGGCCAGGTCATCTACGAAATCCAAATCTTCTAATCGGTTCGGAGTTGACCATTGTATTCCATGCCTTCCTCTTACATATCGAGGTTATCATAATTTAGTCGAACACCAGAAAAAAGAGAAAGATGAAGAGTGAACAGCTCTGTCTGACTCCGCTTGTTACTTGAAAAATATCTATTCCAAGTAATTAATCTGTGATTAAATACGTTTTAATGTTATTCCTATAATGTTATAGCTCAGCTACAGTCAGGCGTAATTTCTTGAAACTACACAAGTTTATAATGTAGTCATTTACTAGTGACTGACTTTCATTTCTGGATTTCTAGTAGGAACTTGTTCCCGAATTCCCTGGCACGGCTGAGGGTGTAGAGAGTCAGCTCACCTTCTGAGAGCCTCTTTCAGAGAATTTATACTCTCTGCCTTCTCGTGGCAGTGGTGTTATTTACGAAATTGAGAGGATGAAACGCGAATATCCGGCGATCTACCCGAGTTAGTGAACACGGAGAGTCTAGCTAAAGAGGTTGAAAAATTCTCATTCCAAAATTCTAAGCAAACGAGTGTTGTATGAATTAATCGCCTCGTAGATTAGATCTTTAGGTCGAAAACCCCAGGTGTTTCCCCCCAAGAAAAATACTTGCTACGGTCTGGAAAGTTGGACAGTATCGCAGTCTACACACAAATCAACTGATTTGTGTGACGCCTGTGTATTTGGTTCGCCATTGTACCAATATTTATGTGTTGAAATAAATAAATAAGTGAAAACATGTGGACAGTGGAATTCAACCATGTTTGTTTTCAAGGCAGGTACTCACTAACGACAATAGTGAACGGTCGTGTAATATCGTGGATTATTGAAGTTAAACATTAACACCGTTGTATACCATCTCGATGATCTACAGTTTAAGAGTCTGCCTACGAGTCCGAACGTCCTAGGTTCGAGCTCCACATACGAGATTATGTATATGTATACTACTCCGAGTCACATACTACTTTAATTTGATACTAAACGTTTACAATCTTAACAGAAATTGAAAAACAATTTACAAGAAATCTTTAACTACCAAATCAATTTCATTTATCTAAAAGTTTATCAAAACGAAAGTTCAATGTAACAATGTAACCAACAAACTGACGAATAGTTTCTCTTTTTTTTTCTCAATGTTTTTCTCTTTTTTTGTTTTTTGTTTTTTCTTATCAATTTAAAATGGAAAATTAAATAGTAGTCGAGAGCAAATATTAATTATATCAATCATAGTTGCTAAGGTATTAAAGAATACAGTATATAATAATATAGATGCTAATGAATAATTAGGATAAAAGATAAGACATCTTAATTTGCCAATAGTTATATAACTGATAAATATTGTGATCTGTAAAATAAAATAAACATGAATCATTATGAAGATGATAGTAATTTGGATAGTTGAATTGACGAGTTGATTTGAATTAGATGCATCACTGAAATTCTAAAAGCATAATATGAAAATCTTCAACAGTGCACATTTATGATTATGTTAGATCAGTTGTCTAGAGGTTAAACATTTGTATGTAAGATGGAAGGTCCTGGGATCGAGTACTGTTGAAGAGTCTCATAATAGGGTGAAACAGCCATTCAGTGCTTCCATGTTTTCAATGGTGATTTAGTTTAGATTCATCCATGAATTTAACTGTTTTAAACACTAATAAGTCTAGATTTCTTATTTTTATAATGGATGCATAAATAGACGAGTCTACTGAAACTCCTTTTTAGTAAACGTGATTCGATGATACTTCTTGTGTAATTTTATGAAGGAAATGTTACCGGAAATGAAATTAATAGAGTTTCTCAACTGAAGTTATGAGTAAAGTTTACTTGAATTCTTCCGTTGATGTTGATCTGTCTCTCTCTCTTATTAACATATGTCCATTGTGTGAAGAGTGCCTCGATATTGTCTTAGGTCACATGCATTATAAGCAAAGATGGATAGTGATTAGTAATGGAACCCAGGACTCTCGTTTTTGTTCCATTTGGGACTCGTCAACTGCATGTACCTGAATCTCCGAGTTGATGTTCATTCTGTGACTCGAACCCAGTAGTATTCACTTCAAAGGTCATCGTGTTATCAACTTAGCTACAGAGTCATGATTGCCAGTTGCTTGTGAAATAGGTTGAAGTTTGAATTCTTTTGATAGTGTTTACTTGGATCTTTCCATTGATGTTTACGGCTACAGTTGACCAGACTCTAATCGACATATGTAAATCTATGGGAAGATCAAGTAAGCAATAACAGATGAATTTAAACTTCACCCCATTGCACAAGCAACTGGCTATCAGAACTCAGTAGCTAAGTAGATAACATGATGGTGTATGAAACAAATGGTACTGGTATTCGAGTCACAGGATGAGCATCAATTCTGAGATTCAGGTACATCTATTTGATGGGTCTCAAATATGACAAAACGCGCATCAAACTGTATTCAACTGCTAGCCACTATCCATCTTGATTTATGAAATTACAAGTGTTCATTAATCTAATGATTTGAATGTATTACATTATTAAGTTTGGATGTAGTAATAGATATTATGATTTTTCAACAGTCAGATGATTGAACAATATCACTATGTGTAAAATACGTTACAAGGTCCACAGCCTAAGGCTTGTACGAGGACAGTACATCGAAACACTTTTCTTAATTCAAATAATAGATATTTTATCCACAAAACTCATACTTAAGATATTTTTACTGTATGGGGCTGAAACGAAAAGAACTACCACAACCATTATCAAAAAAGTACGAATATTTATAAACGATTGTCTACACTAGATACTCGATATCCTTTGGCCGAATACCATCAGCAAAAGCCGCCTACTTTCGGAGAAGACAAACTAACTTCCAGCTGAAGATGAAATTAACAAAAAGATGTTGGAAGTGGATAGGATGTACATTTCGGAAATTATCAAACTGAATCACAAGGCAAAGCTTAGTTGGAAAAGTAAGAGAGGTAAACGAAGGTACACATTGCGTCGGAAATCGCAAGTAGACATGAAATGGATGGATAACAACCGGAAAGAACTGCTAAGAATTGTCTATGACAGAGTTGACGTATATATATGGAATACATTTCATTCCTTTTCCTCGAAATTTCTACAGCAATATACACACTTTTCGAATGTCAGTAACATTATGGATAATAACATTTGCATTGTTCTGTAATTTTAACAATTTTTGAATTTATCATTGTAGAGTTACAGAGTTTATCGAGCTATAAGCGATATCACGAATCAATCAATGTTTGGCCACCATTGAAAACCTGGAAGCACTAGACGGTAGTCTCGTCATAGCATGGGACTTCTCAGAAGTGCGCATCCACGATCCCGTATGCGGGACTCAAACCAAGTGCCTTCAACCTCGCGAGCGAACACTTAACCTCTAGGCCATTCATCTGGCATCCAACTATGTTGAATTTCAACCAACCTACCAAATTGCGCGACCGTCTTCGATTTTCTTCGGCGGGTAACTGCGTCAAATTCGATACGGTTGAACTACAGTGATCATAGTTTCTCACTAGAACTCCAAGAATCACATCTGGAAGATAGTTGCAAGTAAGCACATGATAATTATCAATATTTGATTGTGGAGATTTTGATACCGTGCTCACAGGTTTTGAATGGTGGTCTAACGTTGATGGGTCCATGTAAAAACGTCATTACTTAGCAACATGGCAATTCGAACTGATATACGTAGGTACAAAGTTCGACGTAGTTATTGACTGACTGACTGACTGACTGACTGACAGACTGACATATCCAATTTACATGCACTACAGAAATACGAAAGATCAATAGATTATGTTTCCTATAAGCCAATTATTACGTACCCATGTAAACTATAAATAAATGTAACTTACAATGAATGAAAATGTTACTGCAGCTATATAGAAAGCCAGAGCTATTACCTACAAAACAAAATTAAACTATTAGCGAAATTCGCATTCGACTAATTAACAAATTTTCAATGTTGAATTGACGAGCTGATCTTAGCTAGACTGCCATTTGAAAACCTGGGATTATTGGACCGCCGTTTCATCTCAGTATGGGTTTACTCAACATTATACAAGGAAAATCCGCATGTGAGATTCGAAGAACTGACTAGTGATTTAGTGTTTAATTACATTCAGTTGTCACCAATGATGCTCTCGTCCATTACAGAACTACAGAAATGTTCGAAAATGTTTTTAAATAATCAACATTTCTAATATATAGCTGGAATATCTACAAGTTAATTCAAACACATACTTCCTGTGTTTATTTGTCCAAGTAATAACTTGATACACGAAGTATACTTACTCATTTACTTACTTACTTACACCTGTTACTCCTCGTGGAGTAACACAACTCCACTTGTAGCTCTTCCAGAGTTACTTCCGGTCTCAAGCCCGGATAAAGAAAGAGGGTTGAGTATGGGATCGGCAGCCCCATCCCATTGAAAACATGTTGCGGGAAGTATGGTTAATTATATATTCTTAACTTACGATTGTACTCACAGTTTGATTGCTAAAGTTCATTGAAGTTTAGTAGTCGGTTATGAATTACCTGACTAATGGTATATATTTTAATAGTCCCAATGAATCAATCAATGATTATAAATATTGTGAGACTACTCAGCAGTGCGCATTCAAGATCCCGCATCGCAAGATTCGAACCCAGAACCCACCAGTTTCACGCTCGAGTGCTAAACCACTAGATTATTAAATCAGCCGGCATACAGTGGTGTTAATGGTTAACTTCAAACAATCCACGAAATCGAGCGATCCATCCACCATTGTCTCCAGTGAGTCCAGTGCTTACAGGTTTTCCATGGTGGCCTAGCTCATGATCTCAATCCTTAAACTTAGTATAATATCCACGAAAACCTCGGTGAGACTTTAATTTATGGGCGAGGTAATCAGAAGCGTTCGAGAGATTTCAAAGTCACGGCGCTAAATTCAGTGCTTAATGCTAACATACGATCAGTTCACAGGGAATTTTGTGGAAAACGTGATAATTGAGGGGCTGTATCAAATAAAAAAAGCTAGACTATAATTTCTGGACAAATCAATCAGGTATAGGACAACAGATCTCGGAGTTTCGCGCAAAAGTCTTCCATGCATTTGGCTGAATAGGTTTCTGGCATTATAGCTGGTGTCAGTTCGTGATGAAAACCCTTTATATATAATTAGTAACTGAGGCAAATTATGACAACTATTGAGAACTGGATAATAAAGACACCAGGAACACTGGATGCCGCCAGGCAGCATAATACATATGGATGATTGAAGAGCGTACAGACTCCTACATATGCTTAGTTACGTGCATCGTGTCGTCATCCACAAGTGGCCTTTTGTGTAGCCAACAATCGGAGTGCACACAAACAATATTGAAGCTGTGCGGTCGAGGTTGATAGACTTTTTGAGACTTTATTATGGCTCCAGAGGCCGAATGTTATGGAGCTATATGGATGATTCCCTCTACTGCATGCATTACGATTTTAGAACCTCTGAACACTTTTCCAACCACGTGTAAGAAGTGTATATACTTTATTTCTTTGGTTTTGTATAATATATTTTACTCTATAATTTCTGTTTGCTGATTGGTTAATATTTATCAAGGTCACTTAAGATTCGTTCAAAGGTCGTTCACAAATCATAGTCTCGCTAAAAACTCTTCTGAAATGGATTATGAATGAGTTCAATTTTTCGTTTAAAAGAAAACTGGATTCAACCACAATTACGTAGTTTATGCATCGAATAATTAGGATACCTTGATTCCTGAAAAGATGAATGCGATTGCAGCTATTATAAACGTAATAAATATCGATGTAATAGATATTAGAACACTTTTTATTTGGTCCGCCAAATTTGTTTTAATCGCTGCACCAATCAACACTGCACATATAAATAACACCAGACTAATTCCAAAAGCTGCAATTTTTAGAAGAACATATAATTGCATATACCAAATTCCTAATGCTAACGCCATACAACCAGACTGTAAATGAGAATGAATATTATGGTGTAGACGAAATATATTCATTCATATATGCTGCGGAACACTTTGTTAAGAATAAGAGTACAGTTTATAAATAGGAATAGACAATATTTAAGAAAAGGTGTATAGTGGCTAGTACTGGAATCTAGGACGCGCGTTTTGTTCTATTCAGCACTGGTCATCTGGACGTACCTCCATCTCAGAGTTGATGTTCACCCCGTTACTTAAACTCAGTATCGTTAGCTTCAAACATTATCGCGTTATCCACTTATCTACTGAGTGCTGATAGTCAGTTGCTTGTGAAGTTTTAATTCATTTGTTATAGTTTTACTTGAATCTTCCAGTTGATATTTACGACCTTAATTGATCATCATTTCTCTCATTGTTAATCCGCCTGTAGCTCTTCTAGAGTTACTGCCGATTCCAAGCCCGGGTAAAGGAAGAGGGTTGGGCATGGGGTTAGCGTTCCCATCCCGTAGAAAACTAACTCACTAAAAAACGCTTACCGGAAAAAATAATTCAAACCATTTTAACTCTGCCCTGGGAGTTAGAAGGTCTTCATTTAGAAGAAGTATGACACTTCATGGTGAAAGTTGAGTTCCTTCGAAAACCACGAGGCCGATGCCCCTTCTAACAACCAGAGTAACAATTTTTATGGGTACATGGAACGTCCGAACAATGTGAGAGACCGGGATGACCAGTCAAATAGCAACGGAAATGAGGAGATACAATTTGACAGTACTGGGAATCAACGAAAACCATTATACCCAAGCCGGAAAGAAAAGCTAAATACGGGAGAGATGCTGCTATACTCCGGTCACGAAGAGGGAAATGCTCCACACACTCAGGGAGTCGCTCAAATGCTGTCCAAAGTAGCACGAAATGCACTTGTTGGATGCTAGTCTCACGGATCCAGAATCATCGAAGCATCATTCAAAACAAAGAAGGAGGGGATCTTAATGAATATTATCCAATGTTATGCACCCATCAATGACAGCAACGACAACATTAAAGATCAATTCTATGAGAGGTTGCAATCAATCATAGAGAAGTTCCCAAGAAAGGACCTCATCATTTTGATGGGAGATCTAAACGCCAAAGTCGGAATAGACAACGCCGAATATGAAGATATCATGGGACGACATTGACTGGGAGAGTGAAACGAAAATGGGGAACGATTTGCAAATCTGTGTGCATTCAACAAATTGGTCATAGGAGGCACAATATTTCCACACAAACGTATACACAAATCTACATTGATTTCACCGAACTACACTACAGAGAACCAGATAGATCATATTTGCATCAATTAAAAGTTCCGAAAGATAATAGAAGATGTGAGAACCAGGAGAGAAGCTGACACAGCTTCAGATCACCATCTAGTTGTAGCTAATTTAAAATTGAAGCTAAAGAAAAACTGGACAAACAGCACTACAAAAGTTCAATACAGCCCTCCTTCAAGATACTGACAAACTCAGTGAATTCAAGATAGCTCTCAACAACAGGTTCCAAGCCTTATACGATCTACTGAAGGAAGAAGAAACTACTATGTAGGACAGCTGAAAAGGTATCAAAGAAGCAATAACTTCAGCGTATCAAGAGGTTCTGGGCCTCAAGAAGCATCATCATAAGGAATGGATCTCTATAGAAACACTGGACAGGAACAAAGAAAGAAAGGAAGAACAAGAAGACATCAATTAACAACAATCGAACACGAGCAGAGAAAGTCCAAGCACAAGCTGAGTACATAGAAGCAAATAAGCAAGTGAAGAAGAGCATTAGAGCCGACAAGAAGAAATACGCGGAAGAATTAGCAACGACGGAAGGAAATATGAAACAACTTTACGATACAACGAAGAAACTATCAGGGAAATACAGTAAACCAGAGAGACCGGTCAAAGACAAAGGCAAGCCAATCACTGAAATTCAACAACAGCGGAACAGATGGGCAGAATACTTCGAGGAACTCCTGAATAGGCCGGCTCCAATGAATCCATCGGACATCAAAGCAGCACAAACAGATCTTCCCATAGACAGACCAAATTGCAACACTACGGATCGTCGTTGAACAATCAGTTGAGTAGAACTCGTCACTATACATCAACCTCATTGATTATGAAAAGGCATTTGACAGTGTAGATAGGAGGACGTTATGGAAACTTCTTTGACACCAAGGAGTTCCTGAGAAGATTGTCAACATTTTCCGAAACTCATACGACGGACTACAGTGCAAAGTCGTGCATGAAGGACAGCTGATAGATGCATTCCGAGACCTCGACATCTGAGGGAAAACACGGAATTCAATGGACAGCTCAGAATCACTTAGACGATTCGGACTTCGCAGATGACCTAGCCTTCCTATCGCATACGCACAAACAGATGCAGATAAAGACAGCCAATGTAACAGCAGTCTCTTAATCAGTAGGCCTCAACATACACAAGGGGAAAACCAAGGTCCTCAGATATAACACAGAGAACAGCAATTCAATCACACTTGATGACGATACTCTGGAAGTTGTAGAATCCTTCACATACCTGGGAAGCACCATCGATGAATAAGGAGGTTCAGACGCAGACGTAAAGGCGAGGACTGGTAAAGCAAGGGTCGCATTCCTTCAATTGAAGAACATATGGAACTCAAAACAACTTTCAACCAATATCAAAGTGGGAACCTTCAATAAGAACGTCAAGGCAGTTCTACTGTATGGAGCTGAAACTTGGAGAACTACAACAAGCACTATCAAGAAGGTACAAGTATTTGTAAATGTTTGTTTACCCAAGATACTCAACATCGATTGTTCGGATGCCATCAGCAACAGTCTTCTGTGGGGGAGAACAAGTCAGTTACTAGCTGAAGAGGAAATTAGGAAGAGACGACGGAAATGGATAGGAAATACGTTACGCAAATCATCAAACCGCATCATGAGATAAGCCCTAACTTGGTATCCTGAAGGGAAGCGGAAAAGAGGAAGGCCAAAGAACACATTACGTCGGATGCTCCTATGCCCCTTCACGAGGAGTAACAGGCGTAAGTAAGTAAGTAAGTAAGTAAGTAAGTAGGTAAGTAAGTAAGTCTCTTATTGGTAAATGTGCATACTCTGAGATACAGGTGGACTTGGATGAATTCTATAAACAAGCTTATAATCATTGTGTTAATCATTAGAGTGATCAAGATTGACTATTTGTTCAATGGTAGAAACCTTTAGTTTCTTTCCTACCACCTTTGTAGAACAATAATTTAGTAAATTGTCAAATCACCGCTGTAAATAATCTGTAGTTATGACCTGTTTATCTTGTTACACAACAGCTGATGAATTGGTAGATTTATGTAGATGTGCCTTGACGATAAAGCTTAACATTCGCAGACTTTTGATTAAGATCACGAATAAGTAAATGTTAGACCCTTATTGAGAAACTAGATGACCATTTCGTCTTAGTATGGGACTCCTCAATAGTGAAAACCCACGATCCCGCATGTTGGATTCGAAACCAGGATCTTCGATCTCTCTCGTAAATGTGAGGTTTTCAACGGTGGTAAAACATTGATTCATTCATGATCTCAATCAAAACTCAACAATCTTCACGACCATATACTAATAATTTACAGATTAGCTTCATGGAATATGGTTCTAATAACTGTTGATAACAGATTTTTAATTACATCAGATGACTTGTTAGCTTTAAATTACAGATTTTTAAAAAAGAGTACTTCCTACAACTAAAATGAAATAACAAGCAAACATAATTTCTCGTTCAATTCCATAAAATCCAATTATAGAGGTTGTTTAACTGGTCGTTTCATTGTTCACTTTCAATAAATCGAACTCATTAGACATCCATTACTCATTCTTATCACACCGACATAAAAACATCAGACAGAATGACACAGTTTTTTTACACTGACATCCACAGATGGATTTCAACTAGTGAAATGATGCAGCATCTCATATCCTGATCATATTTTAAAGAAAAACAGATTGATAACCAAACTGAACCAACTTCTTTTCATCTCAGAAATGGAACCCATCCACTTGAATCGGAGAAAACCAACATCTCATCACAACTCTGTCCTTGCTCTCTCTCTCTCTCTGTATACTTTTATGTACATGTGAAGTTCAACATAACAATAGTTATTTAAAGTGTTCAGTCAAGAAGCCGTCATCTATATCATTAAACATCGTAATATGGATCAGTATGTGGCAAATAGTTTGAGTAAATGGTAGACTAGTACAGTCAACTAGGATTAATATCAAGTGGAAACATGAATTTTCTGTGAGCATCAACATAGATAATACCATCAATAAAGTGGAAAGTATGATGAAGAGAATGTATCGAAGTTATACAATCTTTTATTATTATTCGTCACACTAAATATCTACTTATTATATCACCATGATTATTTGTTAGTTATTCGTTTACATGAGATTACTATTATTACTACTATACAACTGTTACTACTACCATACTACTTCGACTACTACCTCTATACTACTACTACTACGACTATTACTACTATTATTACTACTAATATTACCATAATACTACTATACTACTAATACTACTAGTCATAGACTGTGGTTGTCTTTATTTTGTGTATTATCAACTAAAGACTTCAAACCGTCGCGTGAACATCGAATTTTCTACAAAACTGGTGTTCTCATCGACTTACTTTAAATTAATTTTTCTTGTATTATGTAGGTGAACCTGAATAAATGTCCATTTATTATGAAAAAGAAAAGATTCCTAGCAATTCTTACATAAGCAATAGCAAGAGTGACATTCTCTGGAAATGTTTCACTTATCTTCTTTACAAAACAAATTAATAATGCGATCACAAGTGCAATTAACCTACAGAATAGAACAGAAATAAACAAAAGTGATATATATGATCAGAAAAGGGTTTTTATAGATATTACAGTAATTTAATCGTTGAATTCATAAGTCGATTGAAGCTAGATCGCCATGGAGATACATGGAAGTAATAGACGGTCGTTTCAATTTAGTGTAGGACTCCTCAGTAGGGCGCATTCAAGATCACACCTCTCAAGATCCAAACCAACGACCTATCGGTCTTGCACGTGAACGCTTAACCTATAGACCGTTGAGCCGGCTGGCATCTAGCGATGGTAATGTCTAACTTCAACTAATCCACGAAATTGCACCACTGTTCACCATTGTCTTCAGCGATTTACTATCTCACACTATAGATCCTGGGTTTGAATCTTGCGAGGTGGGATCGTGGATGCGCACTGCTGGAAATTTTCACACTAGGTCAAATGATCGTTCAGTGCTTGAAATGACTCATTATCTCAATCACTGAAATGACTATAATATCCACAAAATAGTCCTTCTGATATTAATCTTTCTTTTTGTTATACAGTTGGCCAGTCATTATTAGTGTAAGTGGATTCCAAGCAGCTCGTATTACTATTAAGTTACAAATTTATTGTAAATAATAAGAAATGGTTAGCAGTTTGATGTAAAGAGTACACAATGGTTTTCATTCATAGAATGGAATGTAGTACTTATGACTACTGGACACAATGCGATCTTAATGGTGAGACTATGATTTATGGATGAACCAATCAGACATAAGATAAGAGATTTTGGATTTTGACGCGAAATTCATTCATCTATCTGACAAAATAGAGTTTTGGTATTATAACTGATATCAGGTCGTAACGAAAACTCTAAAGTTAATTCAATATATTGGTTTGTAACTCACATTCATTCCTAGTTATTAGATGAATAGTTTCAAGATCCTTTACATATACGGGCAGCATCATGATGAACACGGTGTATCTGATGCAGATGTGAAGTCGCGGATCGGCAAAGCAAGAGCAGCATACCTACAACTGAAGAACATCTCGAACTCAATATAACATTAAGATAGTTCTACTGTATGGGGTGGAAACTTGGAGAACGACGAAAGTCCCTACAAAACACTTCGGATCCGTTTGCCAGACACTATTTGCAACAACCTAATGTAGGAGAGAACAAACCGTATTCCGGAGAAGGAAGAAATCAGGAAGAAGTGCTAGAAGTGGATTGAATGCCCATTGAGGAAAGCATCTAACTGCATCGGAAGACTAGCTCTCACGTGGAATCCTTAACATCAAGTGAGGAGAGGAAGAACAAATAACAGTTCACGCCGAAAAATGGAGTCGGACATGAGAAGAATGAACAACCATTGAATAAAACAAGGAAGAAAACTTCATGACAGATTGGGTTAAAGAGTGCTGGTCGGTAACAGGCTAAAGTAAGTAGGTAAGTATACATTCAATATTCCTAAGGTCACTCTAGAGGCAATCTAAGTCAATATTCAAACCCTAAGTGTCTTATAATGATCACTTGGCAATTATACAATATGTATAATGTAGTAACAATATATAAAAATATATATTCAATAAAATCAATAAATGTGATCACCATGATTATGTCATCAAAAACTTTACGTATATTACATACACAAATAAACCACTAGCCGTTGTCTGTATCAATGATGCAATTGAAAAATTTGATTGATAACTATGGAAACAAAACAAAAAAGAGAACATTTATTGATCAAACTATTTACGATAATGACATAAATAATATGACAATCAATGTGAATAAAATTTGTGCTATAAGAATCATTAACACCTATAAATGGGAATGATTTTATGATTGATGAAGGATAATCTACCATTAGGGCATATGTGGATACAATTAGTAAACGATTAACATGTTCCATCTGATTCATCATGTTGACTTCATCAATGGAATTCCATTCAAGATTTTCAATCATGGCAAGCATTACTTCCAAAGTTGTTTCCTAGAATAAACAATAAATTATCATATGAAAGTTTTATCATAAATGTGATGGATGACTAAATGTATTGTAATGAATGAGAAAACAGGCGTATACAACTAAATGCTTTAAAAGGGTATGGGTGAGGGTAGTGTGTGGTATTGATGTCTACAGATATAAGTAGTCTGTGCCAGTTACCGGAAGTAAAATATCTGGGGGCGGATGGTTAAGAAAATAAGAGATAAAGAACAGAGAATGACTGGTATGCAAACGAAAGCACAATAATGACTAAATACAGTGCATAAAATCACAAAAACAGCGAGATTATCATTTATGGACGAATCAATCAAATTTACGATAACGGGTCTTGGATTTTAGCGTGGAATTCATACAGTGACTTGTCTGAATACCGTTTTCACATGTTAACTGATGTTAGTATTGATAAAAACCCCAAATCTACATCCTGACAGTAAATCAACTCTAAATCATTAGTCTCACTCATCATACTGAGGTAATAATCCTCATTTAGTCTTTGAATAATAGATAGATATACTTAATGTCAATTCCCATGTAGTAACGTTGACAAGAGCATGAAAAGATGTTATACCTCCACATATATGACATAAATCATGACTAACAGTTTGGAAGCTACAATGGATCGTTCAATGGAATATTCATTCAATGATGGTAGTTGAGAACTTGAAGTACTCTTCGGCGAGACTACAATCTACAGATGACCTTTAAGGGAAGCTGAAGTGACCTTGAGACTTACCACTCAATAACTAGAACGAAGTGAAGATTGTAAACCAGTGTGAGTAAATGGAATTTTGATTTCTATTTGATGGTCAAGGTTGAGGATTGGATTTAGGTTTTTCATCACGAAGTGATATCAGCTGTAATGCGAAAACCATATTTTGCCAAGTAGGTAAGTGAATTTCGCGCCAAAATCCGAGATCTGTTATCTCATACGTGATTGGTTCGTCCATAAATTATAGTCTCGCTGTACGTTTCAATTGTGAATGATGTAAATGATTATTATCATTACAAATATGCTTTTACTTGTGTTTAGAATAGGATAATTTACGTATGACGTTTCTACTCGACGGAATCAAATGACAAATGTACTTGTACTTAATCTGCAGTAATCTGAGAAGCTTGTTGAATTCGATTGTTGATTAGATTCTGTATGTTTGTTTATTCATTTCAATAGACTACCAATAATTATGATTTATGTGATTCACTTAATTGACACTATTTGCTGTGTAATCTAATTGGATAGATAGACATGTTGTACAAGGAGTTTGATCTCTACAAACAGTTCACGCAATGTAGTCATAGAGTACAAATGCGATTTGACAGAAAACTGTTTTTATTATTATTATTTATTGGAAAACATAATTATCAGTAGAAGGAGGAATCAAATAGATATGCACATACAACTCAATCGATTTATGTGCGGGCTAGGGTACAGCGCTGGTGCCCAAATCGAAGCACGTGATTTTCTTACGAAGCCACACCCGGAGCGCCGCACATTCATTTCGATCTCCCAATTTTGTAAATAACATCTCATTGGCAAGGAGGCAGTGAGTAGGCCATGTAAGACTTTCGAGAGGGGAAGCTAACTGTTCCCATCCTCGGCCATATCAGGGCATTTCGCGGAGGTTATTGATGAATGACGAATGATACAGAAATACTCCATTTAATAAAGCATATAAAACCAGATCATGAAATGAATTGGTTGTGCAAGTTTATCATATACTAGTAGAATCATGAATGAGAATGATGTACTCAATGGAAGCAAACTTCGCTTTCTACTCCTGGATTCCAGCTTAGTGGCCTGGAGAATAAGCGTTCGCATGCGAGACAGAGTGGTCCTGCGTTCGAATCTCACGAGGCGGGATCGTGGATGCGTCTTGCTAAAGAATATCACACTAGGACAAAACGGTCCTCCAATGCATCGAGGTATTCCGTACTGGTCCAGCTTCAATTGACTCATGCATTCAACTGTCAAATAGATGTAAGTTGATGATTAATCACCGAAAATTTCCAACGAAAATTCAAAGTAACTCCGATACTGTAATGTTCGTGTGATTCTAGTATAAGCTGTATCTGATTCAGAACGAAATCATCTACTGTTCTATGATGTGTCAAGTAAAAAATTATAATTAGTCACAAACGTATATTGAAAAAGGATAAAAAGGACAAACCACACGATTGAATAATCACAACGTAGTAGTGTGCTACAATATGCTCTGACGTAACACCTCACATACTAGAACAATGGTTATATACATCAAACGTTTCTCTCAATATTCCATCTGGAATTAATATGTATATTGAATATGAAATTCTTCGATTCTTAGTAGATGGCAGATATTAAGCAGGCTGTGTAAGATCATTCATAAATATTATGTGAATGTACATGAAACTTCTTTCACGTACACACGTAAAAGTATCAATCTTGATCCATTCAGCTGTACACTATATCGATCTTCAGATTCCAGAAGGGACGTTACTTCCGAATTTTCATGATCGGTGTGAACTAGGTCAATGTCGCATTTCTAGACGTTTATGTTATAACAAATGTCATGTTGGTTCTTTTCCTATTTGAAAGAATAGTTTCACGATATTTGGGCATCGAGTTAATGGAAGGCATTGAAGAAGTAGAATTCAATCGATGAGAGTTCACAAATATGTATACCACCTCCTTGATATGTAATGTTTACTTGTTCATTGAAACATACTTCCACATCTGGAAAAACTCATTATAGTGATAAATTGAAATATCACATTTTGAACAAACTGAATATCAAGTATCTTGAAAATATGTGATAATATTGGAGTTGGCTCACTTGCATTTTTCACTCCTCTCCTCTCCTGTTCATATCCCTTAACCACTTCTCATTCTAAATGTCAGTCTGGATAAACGATTGATTGAGACAAATCCCTACAACGTAACCTAAGTTTGGCTTCTTATTAACACTGTCACACATAAGGGGTTAGCTCTATCTCCCTCCCCATAAGTTCTCACATGGCCATGCGTATTCAGAAAATGCATGGTAGGTCCTGATCACTGACTCCTCACTCCACGGGTGCTGTTTACAAAATTGAGAGGATGAGAAGAGAACATCCAGTGCCTTAACCGGGTTGGTGGATATAGAGAAAGTCGGAAAACCCTCAATCCAAGCAAATAGTGAGCATTGAATCTTGGATTTTGTGAGAAAAAAGCGCTTATAAATCAACAGTTCTTCTGAAGCTACCAAAGGGATACATCTCCTGACACTGCTTCACTGACTTGTGTACCTCGTCATTAGATATGTCCCCCTAAGAAAACAACCTGCTTCGATCTGGGCCCCTGGATAGTATTGTAGTGAACAGGAAAAAGATTGTGGCGTTCTAATGCACATGAACACGAAATTACGGAATATCTCATCAAAATCTGAGAACAATACATTAAATAATTTATTTTCAAAATATCAATCTGTTGTCTAAACTTGTTTTTTTTTTCATTGAAATTATCAGTCCATCGTCTCAGATATCATTGCTCCTGGATTTTCATATCAATCGCATTCCGTTCCCGTTCTTTCCTTCTAGTTTTTTTACTGAACTACATTCTATTCCTGACAGTCGTTATGCACTACGAATATGGACATAAGTAGGTCATACCACAGTATCACAATCCAAACATAAAACAAGTGCCTTGTGTGGCGCATATCTATTCAGTACCCCCTTTGTACCAATATTTATGTTTTCTGTCAATTGGCATTTCTTGTAATCTATGACAACAATCTGTGAGCTGTTTCAACATGTTTGTAAAGATCCTACTCATTGTTCAATATGTCTATCTATCCAATTACATTACACGACGAATAGTGTCAAATAAATGAACCTCATAACTCACAATTATTGGTAGTCTATGGAAGTGAATAAACAAACAAAAAAGAATCTAATCAACAATTGAATCCAATAAGCTTCTCAACTAGCTGACAATTGAATACAATTGCACTATTCTAAATACAAGTAAGATTATATTTGTAATAAACATAAAAGTAATCACTTACGTCATTCACAATTGAAAAGTACTTCAATTTCTCTACTATCATCATTGAATAAATATTCCATTGAAAGAACCATCGTAGCTTTCAAACTGTTAGTCATGATATCTGTCATATATATGGATATATAACATCTTTACATGCTCTTGTCAACGTTACTACATGGGAATTGACATTAAGTATATCCATCTATTATTCAAAGACTAAATGAGGATTATTACCTCAGTATGATGAGTGAGACTAATGATTTAGAGTTGATTTACTGTCAGGATGTAGATTTTGGGTTTTCGTCAAGTACCAACATCAGTTAACATGTGAAAACGATATCCAAACAAGTCACTGTATGATTTCTACGCTTAAATGCAGGACTTGTTATCCTAAATTTGATTGATTTTGATGTTTATGGAATTTCAGGAAATAGATTTATTCATCATAGGAACTTTGTTTCTACATCAAACTCTCTCTGTTATCATTTTCTTTTGTTCTCTTTAATTTCCTTGATTTTTTGCCGCTAGGTGCTTCACTTTCAAATAGTGATACATACTACTTCGACATCAGTATCGTACACCACACTCATCCTCACCGCTTTAAAAGAATTTGATTGTGACCGCCTGTGTTCTCATTCATTACAGCATATTTAGTCATCCATCGCATTTATGATGAAACTTTCATATGATAATTTATTGTTTATTCTAGGAAACAACTTTGGAAATAATGCTTGTCATGGTTGAAAATCTTGAATGGAATTCCATTGATGAAGTCAACATGATGAATCAGATGGAACATGTTAATCGTTTACTGGTTGTATCGACATACACTAAATTAGTAAATTGTGTTTTATCATTGAATGTTATTCACTATGATAGGTGCTTATACTTGTTGCAATACAAATATTGGTAACATTGTTTGTTTTAATGATCTTGTCAATACTGTAATTTACATAACCGATAATGATAATAATATTCTTCTTTATTGTAGTAGGATGAAATTTCCATATGGCAAGCAATTGATACCATCAATTATTTCTGGTTTGTTCCTGTATGTCATGTCATTTTTATTTTACAAATTATTGATAACTTGTTTAATAATTTACTTGAAAGTAAGATGGTGATTGAATATTTTGATTAAATGCAGGGTTACCTCATTAGTTACTTATGCTTATTACCCTTCGTTGAGTAGTATTGGCCGCCCAAGGTACTCGTAAGTTTTATAAAAAGACCTCTTAATAATCTTGTAGGATTGAAGGATAAACAAGTTACATCAACAATATCGACACATGGTACTTCTAATGATAACCAAATCGAAACTGAAAATATCAAAATATCAATATAGGGTTTTGTAGACGATTACATTTTTCATAGAGTTCATGATGATCACGTTATATTTCCATGGAAAACCTGGAAGCATAGGCCGAGATTTTTTCTATTGTGGGACTCCTCAGAAGTGAGTATCCACGATCATGCGCGAAAGCTTAAGCTCTACACCACTGAGCCGGCCGGCGTACGGCTGTTTTAAAATATAACCTAAATCAATCCACGACATCAAGTGACCACTTTGCAATCTACTATGTAGGTACCTGTCATTACGTGTTACGGATTATCTCTACTGGTCATGGATTGTTTGAGGTTGGAAATTTTTCTTACCTACATTATGATATGTCATACAAATACACCTTAACTAAAATGAACCTGACGCTGACACATTCAAATCTATTATGATATTAATTGGATTAAAACGACCTCTGAATTGTTTCTGCTGTACTATTTCAACGTGTGTTAATCCTATTTCTTTTATTTGTTTGCTCTGAAGAGATGGCTCAAAGTAACGAAACATAAGAAGTACAATTTTCCACTGATTGGTATATAACAAAACATTTATATTTGGAATACTTAAAATAAACTAGTTACGATGTACACCAGGATTTCGTATTTCAATAATTAACATTCTTTTTATGAAAGCAATACAATTGACTTTAACGTAATGCTTTGATTGTTGTGAGGATGTGTCTGTGCGAATAAAACGGCCAACTATCATCCTCAGATTGTTATTTTTTGGCATGTTGTGAACTGCTTACTTATATATGTAAATAGCAAGTTTGATTTGTACGAAATGGAGTTGTCGACACTACTCCCAATCCTTCTGTTTTACCCGGA